TATCCCCCCTATACCTCCTCCTATAACCCCCACCACCCCCAAAAGCAATTATTGCGGATTTGGGCTGCTCTCCTTGAAGCTGCGCACGACCATGTAATCACAAAAAAAGAAAAAATTGCAAGGCAGTCTGCCGACCGCCGACGGGTCCACCTACGGGTCGGCCCAACTGGTAGGCACGCCTACCGCCTACCACAGGTGTCGGCGGTAGGCGCCAAAACTACCCTGACGCCTGGGTGCCCGGCCGTGCGTGAAAATCTTCCTAGAAAAATTCTGGAAAAAAATTATGTTATGCAGAAAAGTAAACTGAACATTCTGCCTCAGGGTCACATCAAAATTCTTTACCAAATTAAAAAAAAAAAAAAAGTACAAAAGTTAAAAAAAACAGATTTTTTATTTAACAATATTTGTTTTGGGCCCGATCGGGCAAGTGGTCCTGGGCCACTCTGGTAGCCTAGCCGGCCGTTCTATCCGGGTGAAGGCGGTGGGGTTAATATTACATCTTTTGCTGATACTACGACCAGCACATTTGCAGTGGTCATTGTCACTCTGTTGCTCACAGTGTGCATGGGTTGTGAGATATGCAACTTGCCTCACTGACAACTCAATTTTGTAATGTACCTGCCAGGCCTGCATCTTTAAGAGGGTCTTTATAGCCGGTTACTTCATCACATGGCTACCTAATAAGCAGACACATTCTGTGTGCAGATCGAATACGACTTGAAGAGGCCACCCGAGCCCATGCTGCCCAAGTGGCAGCTTTTGAGAGTGCCAAGGCAGCATTGGAATCAGAAAAGCTTTCAGTGCAGAGGGAAATGGCGAACATAAAGAAGACAGAAATGGAGCTGAGAAAGGAAAAAGAGACAGTCAGGAAGTTGCAGGAGGACCTTGTTCTGTCTAAGGCACATGCTGAGGAGGAAAGAAATCGACTGTCCATTGCGGCAAAAGAACTGGAGGGGAAGGAAAGAAAGGTGAGGGATGAAGCACGGGTAACAAAAAGAGAGGCTGAGGAGTGGGTGATGGAGATGAATTTGCTGAGGGATGAGATGGATGGCAGAGAGAAGAAGATGAGGGAGGAACTAAATGGGAGAGAGATAAAGATGAGGGAAGAGATGGGAAGGCGGGAGGAAGAGGCTGAAGCAAGAGTCAGGGAGTCAGAAAAGATGATGAAGAGGGCGAAGGAGGTGATTGAGACCGCACATCAGAAGCAAAAGGTGGCAGAGCAGATGATGTTCGAGGTTGAGGAGAGGGAAAGGGAGATTGAGCGAGAAAAAGAAGACATGGAACAGGGCACAAGAGAGCTAGAGGAACGAGAAGGGAAGATGGTGTTAGAGGAAGAGAAGTTGAGGGCAAGAGAGGAGGAGATGGCAGCACGCGATTCGGAAGTGCGAGAACGAGAGAGGAGGATGCAAGAGCAGCATGATAAAGTCCAGAAGGAGGTGGTATCAATGAGGGAGGGGGAGGAAGAACGAAGGAGGATTCTTGAGCGCAGACTTAGTGCACTGGAGGCTGCAACACGCAGCCTGGAGGGCAGAGAAGCTGAGGCTTCCAAGCGGGAAAGGGAAGTAGAAAAGAAGTTGGAGAAGATTGCAGACGAGAAGAAGAGACTTGAAGAGAGAATCGCCGAAGTTGAAAAGCGAGAAACTGCTTTATCTGAAGAGAGAGAACGACTTCGACAGGAAATGCTTGAGATAGATGCCTCTAACAGGAGAAGGCAAGAGCTTTTGGAGATGCAGAAGGCAGAAATTATGCGGAGAGATAAGGAGGTATGGTCTTTGTACCACGTAGTTTATAGAAAAGTGGTTAACAGAGTACTGAATTTTCATGGTTTTCTCATGGTAATAAAAGCCCCGCACCTTCTAAACCAAACATGTCACCAATCCATAAAGTGGACACTAAGTAAACCAACAGCAAAAGAAAAGTGAAAAACAAAACAAAACAAAACAAAACAAAAAACAAAAGAGCCTTAAACCATAAGGCCAAAATATGTTCTGAAACTTTTCATGCAAAGTTCACCCTTTACATCTTTTCAGAATTTTTTTTTTTTTATTTTTTTTTTTTTGTCCTTTGGGACATCTGTTAAAATTGGAACGATAGAGAGAAGATTAGCGTGGCCCCTGCGCAAGGATGAAACAAATGGTCCAAAGACTCCAAATTTTTGAAAGGCAAAAGTTTTTTTTCGTTTTTTTCCCCCTGAGACTGCAGCATTGATTACTTCCCTGGTTCAGGAAGGATGTACTACCTGGTTCTCTTGCTTTTCTAATCTCTGGCCTGGTAATGTGTTTGTCCTCTGTTGACACTCCTATCCTGTTTTAAGGAAAACACAACTGTGATCCATTTGCAGAGAGCAGCACCTGCTGGAAAACGGGCCCAGTGCCCCTTACGAAAGTGAAGAGTTGGCCAACTAACAAATGATAGAAGCATCAAATGAAGATAGAGCAATGGAGCAAATCAATGCTGGGCAGGTTCCTTCGGCCGGACGGAAGGAAGCGTGTGTGTGTGTATTGTTGTATTTTCTTGACTTGCCGGTGGAAAAGGAACCAGACTGATGCTCCCCAGAATGGATATGGAGCCATAAGGTCCTGTTTTCGAGGGGAAAAAAAACAGAAGAAGAAAGAAGCATCAAATGAAGGGTATCATCATTAATTTCCTTCAGCGATGCCCTGGGCACACTAAGATCAACTTCATTTGAGACAAATGTAAAGGTTGAACCATGGACTAGATCTGCATCTTCAGCTTATCTTTCGTCATGCTGTCAGATTTCCATACATTGGTCTGGCCAAATCATGATGTCTCTACTGAAAAATTGCTGGTGGTCTGAAAGGGATCTGGAAACTCTTCTACTTGTCTCATTCGGAATAAAATATCAATCATAGCTCAATCTTTGAACGGTAGATGATTTCTTCCTATTAAAACCACCAGTCCATCCGAAGCTAAATTGACGAACCAAAAAATGCATTTTGCTGAGCCAAAAAGTAACCAGTACCGGCTGTTTGGAAAATCAATATGGTAGTGGTACTGGCCTCTGTTGTATTGAAAAGTCAGATAGGCCTCCTCCAGACATTTTGGGGCCCAAAGCTTCTGTTCATCTGTTGCTCTACTGGCCCTGGGCCGAACCACCTAGGTGCAGTACTCGTATACGAAAACAGATGAACAGTACCTTCGGATGAACTGGCAGTTTGTCAGCCAAGTACAGGTTAAATGAAGGCAGCATAAGGAGCTGGAGTATGTAGATCTTGCCAGAAAAACAGCCTTATGGGTGACCAGGAGAGCTAGGTGTCACTGTAAGGTAGGAACGAAATCAACCTCCTCGATGGAAACATGGATGGAAGCCAGGGACATGATGAGGATGGAAATAAGAGCTGAATGGAGGGTAGCAATAAAAATGGATGGGCAAATGGAACCACTGAAAAAAGCCAGTTTGCAGAGGGGTATTAAAGAAGAATGGCTCGACGAGGGGCGTATAGCACAAGTGGACTATCTTAGGCAGTGGTGATGGTTGGGTTGATTGAAGGCAATGGGACTATCATTCCTGCCTTATGCCGATACTCACCCAATCTGAGACACCCACCCAGTCAGATAGATCTAGTCGATCCTCTTTGCCTATCATGTGCACACATTATCCTCTCCTATCCAACCACCTCTCTCGTCTTACTTATCCGTCCAACTACACATCCATCTCCAGTCATTCCTCCCTCTTGTCCGGCTGTCTGCCTTTGTGTCCTGCATCCATCGCCTTGTTCCTCTGCCATCTTCCTATCGTAGACCAGTAGTGATGAGGTCTATCCATCGCCTCGTTCCTCCGTCCACCCCTACTGTCTTCACCTGAGTAGAACGCCCAGTCATTATCGCTGCGCCTGACTGAGAAGTGCCCCAAATACAGCTATACTGACTGGGCTTTATATTTGGGTGAAGACGGTAGGGTCAATGTAGGTGTATAGGGTCAGCTGCCCATCCATCCATCCGTCCGTCCTTCAGTTATCCATTCATCTGCATGTCACTGAGCTGCTTCTCACGGATTCCCAATGACAAATGGGATGATGTGTCATCAATTTCCAATCACGTGGTTGGTTGCCTGATGGATGGGGTGCTGACCCTGTTCTCAGCAGGCGCTGCTCCACAGCAGTAGACTGGAGGCTCATCAAGTGACAGCAAGGCTACATCCCTTAGGTGCTCCGTTTGTTCTAGCTGCTGCAAATGGATAGCTGCAGTTGTTGTAGCTGTTGCAAATGGATGGATTTCATACAAAAAAAAAAGAAATGCGAGTGTGGACATTCATCACCCGAAAGTGCCTCCAGCTAAGAAGTACACTAATGTTGGCAAACACAGCTCAGAAGATGATCACAGAGCATGGCAGGATGCTACAGGAGCTACTTTTTTTTTTCTTTTTTGTTTAATAATGAAAAACAGAAGCTTAGAGTTCTGGCTCCTTTTCCATTCTGGGGAGCATCAGTGCGGTTCCTATTCCACCGGCAAGTCTGAAAGGATCACAAAGATTACACCCTCCCCCTTATGGTGTGGAGGTCTGAAGGACAGCATTGATTACTTCCCCAAGGAAGGATGTACCACCCTTCACCCCTGCCTAAGTTATCCTATTCAACTGAGGTTCTGCCTTTAACCTGACTGTCTGGATTTACCCTTGCCTCCCTAGAGCACAGCAGATCTGTCTCTCTCTGTTTCTAGATCGTTAGCTTTTCTACGCTTACTGCCTTCTGTTGCTTGGATCTTTTTTTCTGATCCTGTACAACCTCTTCTGCTTGCCCCCCTGGATATCTGCACGCTTGGTTGGAGACTTAGTCCGTCGCACGGACGATTATTTCACTAGGCAATCCAAAGCTTAACATAGGAACATCACTTGTGCTCTTTTCACTTGTGGTGAGAAGGGCCGAAGGATGCCATAAATACCTAAGTCCTTCAATGTGCTACGATCTGAAAGTGGAAGGTTATTGAGACTGCTGACTGGCTAAAACCCTTAACCCTAGAATGCTCCCGCTCTGTTCCTTGTTATCCGGTTGTTCGAGGATGTGCCTTGGGGGGGCTTGGGGCGATGGTGGGAAGGGGGTGGGGGATGTGGCTGGGGAGATGAGGCATTACTGGTTGTTGCTCCAAGGACTAGTTAGATGTTTGTATCTGGACTGTCTGCTAGTTTATTACTATAATCTAGAGTTTGGTATCGGGGTGGTTGTAGAGGATTCTCTGGCCCCTGGTTGTTGTGTTGGGTTGGGGAACCAGTCTTTCAAGGTTAATCTATTTTCCATTATCGAGCCTAGTTTTCCTCCTCCAAGTTTTGATGCTTTATATTTTTTAATAATCACAGTCTTATTATCTGGGGTGTTTTGGATTTGGATCAGTGTTTTTTTCCAGTGGGCGTGGATTTTCGTCTCGATTAACTGTTTAATGAGGGTGAGGGGATTTTCTGGGGTAGTAGGGAGGTCTTCAAAGGTTAGGGCGCATCTTCTTCTCCAAATCGCCCAAAGAGTAGCTTTTCTGATTAGAGAGAGGAAGTATTCGAAACCCTTGAAGGGCGGTGTTTGTTCTAAGTCTAGGAAGAGGGTGCCAGGGCTAATTTGTACTATTTTTAATTAGTATTTTACTGGTGAGCTTGCTCCACTATAGTTCTACTTCATTCCATAGGATTTGGACTTTCTTGCATTCCAGGAAACAGTGATTGAGTGTTTCGATAGCTTGGGAGTTGCAAACTTTACACCATAATTCCTGCTCTGATTTGTCTTGCTTCCTTCTTCTTTGCGCTAGCCAATGGTTCACAGGGAACTGCTCTGTAGGTTATGAGCCAGAGTACGCTGGCCAACTTGGCTGGTGTAGTGCAGAAGATTGATGACCAGGATGGTTGAAAAGATGTATTGGTGAGGGAGTTTTCATGCTTTTGCCATCTTTTAAATATGATGGCCGAAGTAGTAATAGGCGAGGAGAACAATTTGTAGCCTAGTCTTGGGGTGTAGTCGGTTAGTTTGTGTCTGCGTATAATTGTGGAAACTTCGCCTGGCAAGCCCCATGACCATTCGGTGGGATCAACTTCTAGTTGTTGGATGCTTAAGTCGGGCCTAAATACCCTGCTCTACTCTCATTCTTATCAGGTTACTTACTTTGAAAGATCCTTCTGCTCTACTTTGGTTGCTCAAGAAGCTTATTGGGTTGCTTGGTTCTTCTAAAGGGAATATATTGCAGGTTATCCATTCATTATTGTGTATTTCGTTGCTTATGATTCTTAGGATTTCTTGTGTGTTTGTTTGGTCCTTTTGGCTAACCCAATCCCCTGCTAGCCACTTTTGGTCTGATCTTAGTAGCCAGCGCCATTCAATTGGAATGCTTTCGATGATTATTGATAGGTTGGTTTGAAGGTTGTGACATCCTTTTAGGGCCAGGTTCCAATTATTCGTGTGTTCATTCCATAGGTGTTGGATTTGCCATATCTTTTTCCACCTTCCAATTATTTGTGTGTTCATTCCATAGGTGTTGGATTTGCCATATACCTTTTTCGAGCCAGTTACCCTATTTGATTTCGGCCTTCGTAAGAGAAAGGCTTTCTCCTTTGTTGTCCTTGATTCAGGAGTTGCCGAAGATAGGTTGCCTTAGGACCTCATCCCTCCTTTGCAGGCCGATTTTGTTTTCCGGGAAGATTTTTCTCCAGATGTGTAACAGATTTTCTCAAAAGGTTTTGGATGATTCGTTTTCTGAGTCTTCCTCTGAGTTTTGTTAGGGGTCGTGTGCTTTTGTGGTTCTTGGAAGCGACCACCATTTGTTAAAT